TCGCTAGTGACCAGACTATTTATAGCAGCACTTTTTGCATTATATAAGAATTGCAGACAAAGTAGATGACCATTGATTGAAGAATGGATAAACAGATTGTCACCCATGGATACAATGAAATGTTGCTGTGCTGTAAGAAATGATGGATACAGAGGAACATTGGGAAGATGTAAACTGATGTAGAATGAAGCACGGCCAAGAAAACAATGTACACAGTGGCTACAATAATGTAAATGGAAGCATAATTCTAAAACAATTGAAAATGAAAACCGCAAGTTTTATAAAGAACAAGTTTGGCCACAAAGTGGAGTTGTGGGTGGGGGAAGGGGGGGAACCCATCTCTTCTTGATCCTTTGCAAATGCAGCAGGTAGCAGGATAGTTGTATGGAGGGTCACATATAACTTCCTATTTTTTCTATGTGTTGTTGCTTTTGCTTAATTTTTTTTTCTTTTTAAAAAATCTTTTTTGTCAGGGATGGCTTCCTGGGAGTGGGAAGGGAGGATCTCGCTATTGAAAGGAGCATGCATATTACTACAACCAAATACCCCTCAAAGGATCTTTCCAGTATCCATGCTTGTAATCTTAGAGCTAGATCTGATTCTTCCCTGACTCCTTAATATGGTCAGTTATCACATCCTGTTTCCTCCCTCTCCTAGGATCCTGTTATGTTGCCTCTTCTTTTCCATTAAACCTGTAGTCATTCCAGTTAAGGCCCTGGATTATTGTTGATAGCCTTGTAACTGGCCTTCTTCACTCCAGGCTTTCTCCCTTCTCTTATCTTCCCATAACATATTGACCAAATTAATCTTTCGAATGTACTGGTCTGACCCTGTCACACTCTTGCTTTAAAATTGTCAATTATTTTTTACTGCCTTATGGATAAAGTATAAACTTTATGTCACATTTAAGGCTGAACATTGTCTTATTGCTGTATTTCATCAATTCAGCAAGCATTTATTGTTTTCTGTGTGCCAGGTACTATATTAATTAAATACTAGGGATACAAAGAAAAACAAAAACAGCCTCTATTCTCAAGGAGTTTATAGTTTAATGGAACATACACACACACACACACACACACCACACACACACACACACACACACACACACACACACACCCCCTCTATATTTATTGCTAAAGGGAACTCTCATGTAAGGAAATTCTCTCTGCTAATGCTGGCTGAGACTTTATCAACAACTCCGGGGTCTTAGAGTTGACTAGAACATTGAGAGGTTCTGTCATGTGATTGTTATACGGCCTATATATGTCAGAGCTAGGACTCAAACCCAAGTCTTTAAGACTCCAGCGCTGCCATGCTGCTTCCTCCCTCCCTTCATACAATGTAGATTTCAAGCAAAGAGGAATATTAGCTCTCTCTATGTATATGTGTGAGCTGTATCCCATGGCTGAAATATACTCTGTCCTCATCCCTCTCTTTTAAAATCCTCCTCCACTTCTAGATCTTCAAATCCCGGTTGATCCAAATTGAAAGTGATCTGCCCTCCTCAAATTTTTTAGAGCACTCCATCAGGTTATCTCCACCGTTTCAAATTCTCCTTTGTGTCCTCCTTGCATATGCATACATCATATCTCCCCTTAGATTGTAAATGTTTTATGGGAAGTAACGGCTCAGGACAATGCCTTGAACTTAACAGATGCTTAATAAATATTTACGGAGTTTTTGAGTGACTTTGTGGCCTTCAGCTATGTTTGCTTTCATTTATTCATTACTAGCCTTCCCTTTTCTTGTCTGCCTCACTTTTGTTATATGCCTTCAATTAATGTCCTCCTCTACTGATCCTATCACTTTTACCTAGGTTTTGCAAGTGGATAGAGCTGGACATGAAATCAGTAAGACAGGAGTGCAAATCTTGCCTCAGACATTTACTATCTGTGTGACCCTGGCAAATCACTTAGCCTCTCTTTGCTTGATATTGTAAAATAAGGATGGTAATAATAGTGCTGACCTCCCAGAGACGAGAGGATCAAATGCGATATTTGCAAAACGTTTTGCAAACCTTAAAATGCTGTATACATGCTAGCTGCTATTTTTTTTTTCATCATTACCATATAACATTTTTTTCTCAATAATGCCTCCAGCTTTCAAGGGGAAATCTAAGGAATTATTAAAATTTGTAATATCTTTGTAAAATTTGTAATATTATCTTTCAAAAAAGAAAAACATTTACTAAATGAGACAAGCCACTAATAGAGAATTATAGGACCTTCCAGACTTTTATGATGCTAGTGTTACAAGGGCAGGCAAGAATAACTGTAACAATTTTAGCTTTTTTATATTGTGATGAGAGATGTACTACATAATATGACATAAACAAGGAAATAATACTTCCTAAGTTATATTTTAAAATTTCGCTTATTTTCATTTCATGGAACAAAACAAGCATTTCTATAACAATAAGATAAAAAAAAATGATTGCGCATGAAACTACAAATCTACCATGTACAACTTGCTATTCTCTCCAACAACAACAATAGATTAATCAACAAAGTTATATAAATTTCTTATTCCCCCCCTTCCCACACCTGGAGATGGCTACCATTAGACACAAATAGAGATGTGTGTGTGTGTGTGTGTGTGTAAAAATTTGTGTATTTATAATAGAATGACTGTTGCTCAAAGTCTTTCTTAAAACAATATCACTGTTACCGTATACAATCTTCTCTTGGTTCTGCTCTCTTCACTCTTCATCATTTCGTGCAAGTCTTTCCATGCCCTTGTAAGATCATTGAGCTCATCATTTCTAATAGCACAGTAGCATTCCATCACAAGCATATAGCACAACTTGTCCAGTCATTTCCCAGTTGATAGGGATCCCTGCAGTTTCCAGTTCTTTGCTACCACAGAGAGAGGTGCTATAAACATTCCATTCACATTCAAAGTTATAATTACTATTTGTGATTTCCCCTCCATCTTATTTTACTCACTATTTTTACCCTATCCCTGTTACCTTTTCTTCTCCCTGCACCATCCCTCACTTCATGCCCCCCCCGCCAGAATTTCCCCTGCTCCAAGTTATAAGTTGGACTGAATGGTTCTAGGATCCCTTGTTTGAGTCCAATAACCAAGTTTGTAGAATCTAGGCAGCTAGGTGGCAGAGTTAATGACCTGTCTTTTTACAATTGTAGTGTTTGAGTCCATGATGTCAAATAATTGGACCCCTTTAAAGATAGCTGTCCACTGGTACCTTTCCTTTCTTTGCCTTTTTCAGACTCTGTTAGTCACTAGCTAGTGGGGTGTGCCACATAAACACATAATTCTCTTGCCAGTTTGACTGACTACATCCCCAGTCACTCTCAGCAAAAGGAAGTGTCAAGATCTAGGAGTTGCTAGCAGTCCATTTTGGCTGGAGCAGAGAATATGTGAAAGGCAGTGGTGTAAAATGAAGCTAGAAGAATATGTTGGAGCTAGACTGTTGATAATCTTAAATAAGCGTGGCTAAGATATTTGTTTTGTCCTAAAATTAATAGGAGCCTATAAAAAAATGTTTGAGTAAGAAAGTGACCTAATCAGACTTGTATATTAACAAAATTAATTTGGTAACCATATGAATTATTTCCCTGATAATGACCAGTCATAAACATGTCATAGTCTGTTTTGGTTTTTATTTTTCTATATATGCCCTGTACCTTTGCATATCATAGGTGCATAATAAATGTGCAATAATTGAATTGATCATCAGCTATAGTTACCAATAAAAAGTGACAAGTTTCTGTTAAGCTGACTTCATTGCATTCAATCCTAGACAATGTGTGGACACTGCTATAGGTTGATGAACTAACAATATTCATGGTATATTTTTATGATTTTAAAATTTTAATTTCAAATCCATCAGACATAGAGAGCAGACACATCTTTCATGGGAAAGATGGGATATAAATCATGAGATTTTCCTGATCATTCTTCCCCCACAACCCCCATTTTGCACAAATCTTTTTTACTTTGAATTTTTAAAATTCCAAAACATTACTACTGTGCTGTGCTAAGAAGATTAATAGGCCCTGCTTTGTAATAGGTTCAAGACTGGCATTATGGAATATTGTCACATTTTATTCAGAGGTGCCATGTTCTACCAAGCACTTGTCATTCCTGTGAATGAGGCTCTGTGGACCCTTTCTGCCACTTTGGCCTTATGTCTAATTTCAAATGAAATTGAATCCAGTGTGAAGTCAAGTTATTAAAGATTATTGGTGATTATGAACTTTTTGGAGATTTCACCCCTAAAGAGGAGACTTTGCTACTGATTTCCATTCTTTGTATTGGTTCTTTCTTTCCATCTAACTTTATCTCATTAGTTTATGTATAGAATTTTTATGCTCATCTTCAAAAATGGACAGAGTGAAAGAAGGTATGCTGGATTTGGAGTCATAGGAGTTCAAAGTCGTGGCCTCTTTCAGATATTACCTGTGAGACTTTGGGCAAATTATTTAACCTCTTTGACCTTGTTTCTTCTCTGCTGAGAAGAAAATAGAAGGATTGTACCAGATGAACTGTGAGCTCCCTTCCAATTTTAATTTACGAGTTGGTTACATTGTTAAAATATACACATAACATTACAAGAATTATTGGTAAGCCAACTTTTCATTCAGGCAGAAAATAAGAATGTGCAGCCTACTTTTAATCTGTTTAGATCCTTTTGTTTTTGTTGGTGGGGGAAGCAGTATTATGTGTCATGCTTAATAAAAAGTTGTTTTATTTTTCACTGTGAAAAGATTTTTTTCAAGTTTCATATTGTTCTATACATATTATATACGATTCTTTTCCCCTTTGTGCCCCCTTCCCCACTCACAGAATTGCGATTAACCTCATAAAAGGGCTCTTGGTAAGAGGTGGCAGTAGGCTCTTGATGAATTGGGCCCATTCCTGTGTCTCTGCAGGAGGTTGCTTGATTTCTCATTTCTGCCTTGTTAGGCTTGTTTACTGAATTCTTCTAAAGGCAATAAAATGAGAAGAATAATCTTTGTTTCTTCTCTTTTCAGGCTCTCTACAATTCAATCAAGAATGAGAAACTCGAATGGGCAGTGTAAGTATATTATGTAGTTTGCTTTAAATAAATGAAGCGTTCTTTCAGTGTTAACTGTATGTTAGAGGAGCTCCCAAGAATGGTAAATACATCTTGTTGGGGTTGAATTTTTCCTGAAGAGAGGATGATCTCCTTTGAGGACCTCTTTTAATACTAAGCTATATTCATTCAGCCCTCAACAGTATTGTTGGTAGAGTTTTTGAATATTCATTTGAATATCAATTCTAATCTTAATATGCATAAAACAAAGCATTGAGATGGTAGCTTACTTTAGTGAATAGAGGACCAACCTGAAAGTTGAGAAGACATGGCTTCAGGTCCTGCTTTTGATATATTGAAGCAGTTTGACCACAGGCTAGTTGAATCTCAACACTGGGAATTCCTGACTCTTGATGAAAAGAAAATAAAGCATCATAGGCTCATAGTCAATCAGCAGATATCTATTAAGTGCCTACTATGTGCCAGAGACTGCTACGAGCAAGGAATGTCAATACAAAAAAGAAAGACAGTCCCTGCTCTCAAGCAGCTTACAAAGTAACAACACACAAAAGGAAGCTAAGAGGGGGTTGGATACCTGGGATTGGGGCTTGATGGAGAAGTCCAGAGGAGCGTAGTGGGATAGGAAATGAAGAGATGGTTGGCTTGGGCACCCTCTGTAAGTGGTTTTTTTTTTTTTTTCCGAGGAGCTCTCCACCCTTAATTCAGAAAGAGGTGCTTCAAAGACATGAGATCCAAGCTCTAGAGCTATAATAGCCCCATGAAGCCACCTTTTCTACCCACCTCATTTTACAAATGAGGAAACTGAGATTTAACATCATTATGAAAGTAAATATGTTGGGGGTCAATGTGTATAATAGTTGACAGTAGAAATGTTTTAGTCATTACTTTAAAAAATCATCTGCCATTTTCATGGAGATAAATGAAAATAAGCTATATACGTAATGGTTTGTGTTCCTGTATAAACACACTGATATGTAATGACCACTTGCTGTTTCAAAGAGAGGTCCTCTTGACAGGAATTCTTGTAAGAACTGAGTCTGAGATTTACATAAGAATATATTCTGCCTTTTGGACAGGTAAATTTTCACTATTATACACTAGCTTGGTTCTTTGCATTGACACAGCATAACTTCCATTTCCACTTATCTTTACAACTCAATATAAATCTCTTTACTTACATACAGATTTATCTAGCATCATCCAAAAATATTCACTTTTGACAAACTAATATGTTCACAGCACTTGGGTTGAAGGCATGAATCAACTGTGTCTTCTAATCTGTAACATAAGAGAAATGATGGTCTCTCACGTTCCTTCCAGATATTAAAATTCAATGAGTCTCCATTTTAAAAACATATTTCAATTTATGAGATCTTTTAAACAAGGAATATCAGCTTTTCCTTTTGACATATGTATATTTGTGTATATGTCTCTATGTAACATTTATGTCTATAGATACTGTGATACTCATAGACCACCTGTGATTTCAGAGGAATTTCTTGTTGATGGGAGTCTCTGTCAGTGTAGCTCACCTCTATACTGACTCCAGTACAGGAGTTCCAAAGTTAAGTATACCAACTCCTGCTGAGACTAGGGGACTGCATTTCTGAAGGTCTGATTGGGTGAGTACTCTTCCAGTTAGAGGCAGGTGGGACAATGGTGAGGTAAATGGCTAGATGGTCCTGATGCTTTGCTGTGTGCAATTTAAGAATTAACAAAGACAGGTCCTGTATGATTACTTAGGTAAGTTAGACAACAGAATCAATTATTTTCAGTAATGTGATGGATTTTCCATGGTGTAAAGTATTGACTTTAACAAGAAAGTGTAGGTGTAACGTTTATATGAGAATTTTTAAAAATCATGCTTCTAATGTTATTCCATGAAAATCAGTCAGTGTTAGTCAAGCATTTATTAAGTGCCTACTGTGTCCCAGGCACTGTGCTAAGCACTAGAAATAATCAACTACTAAACATCTCAGTTGCTATGTTAGATTCCCCGTGAAGTGTGATTTTTATCTTAGTCTTCTCTATTAAGAATGGTCCAGGGAATAGATTTGCTCACATTGCAATACGTCAGTATACGAGCTGAGATTTAAATCCTTGAATTCTAATACTTTCTTCACTGCCTTTATGTGTGGCAATTCCTTTAGGCCATTGAATTGAAGTATGGATCTAAGAAATCCTTCTGAACCCATGGTATGAGATGATGGACCCTTTCTCATCTTTCTCATTTGTCTTGCATCATTATGCATGTCACCATTCCACAAGTCAGTCATATGCTTCCATTTAACTCAGAGGTCAACACAAAATCCCAGAAAGCCATCATAATAGAATGAATTTTAACTTACTTGAACATAGAAAAATATAACATATAGTACTGGACACAGAGAAAAGGGTAGCATCATGAGATTATAAAGCAAGACAGATTTTTTAAAGCTAGAAAAGATCTTTGCCAGTCAGTTGATCAATAAATCAACATGCCTTTATTAAGTGCCAATTCTATGCAAAGTAGTGTGCTAAGAAGTTAAAAAAAAAACAAATATAAAATAGTTCCTGCCTTTTAGGAGCTTATATTCTCTTGGGGAAGACAAATAAATATAAGGTAATTATAGATCATCTATTAACAGTCCCCTCATTTTACAGATAAAGAAACTGAGACTGGGAAAGGTTAAAGATGTTGCCCAGGATTATATGTTACCAGTTACTGGCAGGTCTGTGATTAAGAACTGAGACTATAGCTCTTGCTCTTTGCCCATACTACATTCTGTTAATCAAAGGTGGGGGTATTGTCTCTGTACAAGAGCTGGAAGTCCCTGCTCTGTCACTGTTGATACTCCTCATTCAGGGTAACTACCTATTTCTTCTTTAGTCGTAGAGCTGGCCTTGCCAGTGTTCCTATCAAGAATCAGATTGTTCTCATCAATTTGTCTGAATAAATCTTTTCTCAACCCTACAGTGAAAGGATGAACTCTACTCTTACATATTGTCCTATAATTCATTTTGCAACAAGAGCTGTTTGGAACCTTTCTTATCTCTGCTTCTAAAATTGAATTGTTTTATATCAGCCTTCACATATCATATTGTTCTAGGATATTGAGTGGGATGATGTTGCAGAGGACACTTTAGGCTACTGGATAATGTGTTTTCAATAGCCCCAAGGCATCTAACAGCTCTTTGCAATGGCTGGCACCACAACCATACCACATACTCATTTTTCTGTCTAATATTTCTCTGTGACATTTTTAATACCCTATAACTGAGCCCATAGATGAAGTCATACTTCAATGTAGTTTGGCTAATTTCACATTTATGACACTTCCCCAATTGGCATCTTGTTTTCACTGACCCAGTGAATACCTTAGGTAAGGTTTACCTATATGGTCTCTGACTTCCCTATGATTCCTTCCGTTGAATGAATGCATTACAGGCTTCCTTTAAGGAAAACAGTTTAGCCTATTTAGAGTTTTACTGATAGGAGAACCAGAGATCATCAGATAATCCCTTCAAACGTCTTTGTCCTCAGTGGAGATAATAAAAGAGTTTACCAGTGGCCATGGTAGTGATAATGGTAAAGAGGGTACTGGGATCAATCAGTCAGCAAGCATTTAAGTGCCTAGTGAGTGCCCTGAGAAGCAGGTGTTACAGATGGAGACTTGAAGTCAGGAAGACATTAGTTCAAGTTCTGGCCAATGACAGAAGTAGAGTGGCGAGATCTTAGGTACATTACATAACCTTTCATTACTCTTCGAAATGATAAGAGTTGCAGGGAAGCTGCTCACCCAATTTCCTGATCTAGAAGATCCTGAAATCACAGGTGCACATCCTGTCCCTATCCCTGCCCTTTAAATGTGGCAGGCACTGTCTTAGTCTAACTAGAGATATGCAACAAAAAAAAAATGAAACAGGCCCTGCCCTCAATGAGCTTATGTTTTGTAGGGAAGACAACACGTATGTACGCATATGGGGTACGTAGGTGGCAAAGTGGATAGAATGTCAGGCTAGGAGTCAAGAAGACCCAAGTTCAAATTTGGCCTCGGACACATTAGCTGTGTGACTCTGGGAAGATCACTTAACCTCAGTTCTTTCATCTGTAAAATGGGGATAATAACATACTTCCCAAGGTGGTTGTGAATATCAAGTGAGATAGTAATTGTAAAGCACTTAATATAGTACTTGGCACATAGTAAGCACTATATAAATGTTAGGTATCAATAATAATAATAATAATAATAATAATAATGATATGTGTCTATATGAAATTTACATAAACTAAATACAAGGCACTTTAGGCATTCGTGAGAGGGAAATCGAGAAAGGCCTCTTATGGGCTCAATCAATGAACATTTATTAAACACCTACTCTGTGCCAGGTCCTAGACTAGTTTCTGGCGATAAAATGGTGAAATGAAACACGCTTTGCCCACTCTCTCTCCTTAAGGAACTTGGGATAAATATTGATTATCTTCCTTCTACCTAATCCCCACTCCTCCAAGCTTTATCTGGTGTAGAGATTAGGAATTGAGACAATCTATTCCCAAAGATTTTTTGTTTGTTTGTTTTGGTTAGACAGTAAATTAAATGAACTTATTGTAACTCCTCCTAAAGCATATTTTTCTCAGGGCCTTTATTCACAAAACTTCATCATCTTAGTAGAATTATGGGTTTTAGTTTTATGAATAATTAATTACTTCTTATTGATATGGACCATGCTATTTGAAATGAGATCTAACCTTTAATGTTCATTTGTATAGGTGTTACTGTGTGCCAGGCACTGTGCTAAGTGCTTTATAATGATTTCATTTGATCCTCACAACAACCCTGGGAAGGAGGTTCTATCATTATCCCCATTTTATTGATGAGGAAACTGAGACAAAGGTTAACTGACTTGCCCAGGGTCATCACACAGCTAGTAAATATCTGAGCTAAAATTTGAACTCAGTTCTTCCTGATTCTACTCCCAGTACTCTATCCATGGTGCCTCCTTGCTGCTGCTCAGATTTT